TATATATATATATATATATATATATATATATATGAGTTAATTTTTACAAGAAATTGATTCAGCGAGGTATGAGTGAAATGTTGAGTTGTATTTTAAATTATTTAAAATGTAATCATTAGACTTGATGTGATATAAAAGTATAAAAGAGTTATTTGAAATGATAGGTAGTAAAATTATGTTAGGAGATAAATAATGAATAAAGTTGATTTGATGTGTGAGGATGAATAATTGATATTATTTATTATATTTTGAATTTGATTATATTTGAGTTGAATTTTGAGTTAAAATTTTATAACCAAATTTAAACTCGAAAATGTTATATCCTATTAAGGATTTAGAGGTTTCAGGTATTAGGATGCTTGGATATAAAAATTTTTGGATTTGTTTGGATTTTTTGGTTTGGTTTGGTTAATTTTGAAAAATTTGGTATAATTAGTTATTAGTGGTATATTAAAATAATATTTTAAATAAAATAATTAAAGTTGATTTGATGTAAAAGTATGAGAGAGATGATTTGAAATGATGGTTAGTTAAAATTATGTGAATGGATGAATAGTGAATTAAAGTTGATGTGATGTGTAAGAATGATGAGTTGATATTATTTAATTATATTAATAACATTAATCATAGTTGGGTTGAGTTAAAATTGAGTTAAAAAAAGTGGTTGATTTAAAAATGTTTGGATTTTTCGAATAAGTTTTGTATCCAAGCATTATGATTCCAACACTAATCGATTTGATATATTTAGTGATGTCGTATATTTATTTGTCCAATCTATTACTTTATTATTTTCATTAATTTTGAATTGAAGAAGTAACATTCTAGCTTGACAAAAGAAAAAAAAAAATGAATGGGTCGGCCGTACTGTGGTAGCAAGTACTATTTGACAAATTTAAAGATTTATAGTGCACGAATCTTCAATTGATTATAGACTAAATTCACAGCGGAAATCAAATTAGTTATTTTTTTTTATGTATAACAATTAGAATGCTCGATGTAAATGATAAAAGTAGGATTTTTTTTTCAAGATAAGTAGGGCGTCCTTGTTTATAATTTTTTTTTAAAATTTAATTTCAACTCAAATTAAACTTAAATTTAACTCAATCTCACTATTCTCAATATTATTAATATAATTAAATAACATCAATCAATCTCTATAAACATCACATTAACTCTAATTCAATTTACATTCACTAACATAATTTTAATTATCCATCACTTCTCAATCACCTCGTTCATACTTTTATATCAAATCAACTTTAATCATTTTATTTTAAATATTATTTAATTCAAAAACCAAAATCTCACTCAAACTTAATCTTAACTTTTTCTTTTCAAAATTAAGTGTGATTAACCACAAAAATCAATCAAAAAAAATTATAAACAAGCATGGGCCCGTAGTANTAATCAACATCCATATGTCTGCAAATAGCCCTGCGGTGAATCTGCCTGCTAGATTTTCCTATACCGTAGTTATTTACATAAAACAAACAAAACTAATCATCATGGCAATTTTATGTCCATCAACATCTCAATTCTACCCTCCGCACACGTCACTAGTTGTTCCCAAACACAACGGTATTATAGTCATTTCAGACAGTAAGAAGGGCAGAACTGGACATGTGATCATTTCCATTTATAGCTTGGAGGGCAAGTCATACATTTCCCACTCATCTTACCGTTTTCCTATGTTCCTGCCCGGCCCGAGGCTCGGAGTCAGGCTCAGTCAACCAGGGCCCCGTCCGAACCTAATGTTTGCCACCTGGAGGGAATAAGACGCTACTCCGGGCCTGAGGCTCGGGAAGCCCGAACTATTTTCCCGCTTCATCCCTCGCTCTTTTTACTTAGCCGAGTGGAGAAAAGGGGAAAGTTGTACTACACTACACTCTCTCGGCAGCTTCAAATGCAATTTCGCTGTGATTTTGCTGTGATACCCTTTATTGTTGCTCTTATTCATGGCTAGGTGATTATTGAAAACCCAATTCGTTTTTAGGTTTCATGGTTTTTGAATGGATAGGTAAAACATTGAATAATACCAACACTTCATCCATTTACTGTTTGTTCCGTGAACGATGATTTTTTCTGGTTTTGCTTTCGCGATGGTATTTTGAGCTGACGATAGCTGTATGGGAGCTCTATTGTGCTCAATCGATTTTTTATTGTGCTGAATATTAGTAATTGATTTTTATGAACATTTTTTTTAGTGTAAATCACAGTGCTGCTATGATAATTATTTTTAGTTTCTCTTCTAGAAGTGAATGCGAGATGTTGTACTGATCACAAAAATCATATTGTATCTATTTGAAATAAATGCAGTAAATAAGTATTTTTGGATAATATGTAGAAAACGGTTGAGTTTTTGTTTCTATCTGGTGTTTATCTAAATAAAGCAATCACATTGCTAATGAAGGACTTGTCGATAAAGTGAAAAAGGTTTTTGTGATCGTATGAGTGACTCTGGTGGACACTGAAATGGAAGAATGAAGAGCTCCTTTCTCTTTCTTGTGTGTCTGTCATGTTTACATGTGTCCCAGATAAGAAAGTTCTGTTTTTTAGCTGCAAAATTCGTATGATATGCCCATTAATGCTACCTACATTTATGCCTCTGATATTTTTGCAGTGAAGTTGAGATTGGAGCTCTTTACGGCCAATGTTATGTCTCTTTATATTATAATATAGTCTATCCTTAGTCGGCTTTGACCAACCCATCTAAGCAATGCAGGGCTTGGATTGTCGATGGCCGAGGAATAGCGAAAAAGGTGAAAAGTGCTGGCTTGCCCTATCAAATAAACGATTGTGGAGCTAATCGGCAATGCCCCAACTGCCAGCATGTCATTGACAATAGTGATGTAAGCTCCAGACAGTTTTCGATTCATCTAACTATTTCTGTCAGATACTTAAGGAAAAGTATGGTATCAAACTGCTTTCTGTTTAACATCCTATTTTAATGCTTTTGTCCCACCAAAAAAAAAAGTTTACTCTGTTTCTACCTTACTATCATGAACAAAAAGGCAGCAAGTTATGGTACAAGCATTGTGGAGCTCTTGAAACTTTCCCGGGTGCAACCCGTTTTGAAATTCAACATGCATGTATTTCTTTTCAGGTTTGTGTTGATTGGCCTGGTCTTCCTGCTGGGGTAAAATTTGACCCATCTGATGTTGAGCTGTTAGAACATTTGGCCGCGAAACGTGGGGTTGGGGGTGCAAAACCCCACGTGTTAATTGATGAATTTATCCCTACACTTGAAGGTGAAGAGGGCATTTGTTACACTCATCCAGAGAATCTTCCCGGTAAGTTTGCTCTTAACTCCTTTAGGCATATTTTCTTTCTTTGTTTTATCTCCTTTTTTCTTTGCCTGGGTACTTGTTGATGATGCTAATATGCAGTAATGCTTCCAAGATTAGATTGAGAGTGCTCAGTATTGTTTTGGAATATAAGAAAGAAGTCTCATGACTCTTTCTGGACAGAAGTAAATAATTGTCTTCTGCTGATAGAATGATCCTATGTAGTTTATTATTCTTCTTTACATGCTGAGTGTTTGCATACTCTTGAAGAGTGCAACTTAGCTTCAAGCCATGAAAATATGAACATTTTCCAGACGGAAGTGGAGAATCATTTTAATTATTTCCTTATTTTTTAAAAAGTTCGCAAATCACTATACTTAAGCTGTAAATATGGTGAGATTACTATTATATTTTTGCTTCTGATCCATATTTGATACAATCATTTGAAAAATCTAATTTTAGAAACAGTGCTAACTTTAGATCGCAATGCAATTATTTCAGGAGCGAAGAAAGACGGGACTAGCGTCCACTTCTTTTACAGAATCATCAACGCATACTCTATCGGTCAGCGCAAGCGCAGAAGAATACATGACCAAGACAACATAATAAATTCTCATGTTCGTTGGCACAAAACCGGAATAACCAAACCCGTGACTGACAACGGTATTCAAAAGGGTTTTAAAAAAATAATGGTCTTGTATGCGACGTCTAAGAGGAGATCGAAGCCCAGTAGGTGTCATTGGGTTATGCATCAGTTTCATCTTGGAACTCACAAGGACGAGACTGAAGGGGAGCTTGTGGTCTCGAAAATATTTTACCAGCCGCAGAAGGAGAATGACAAAAACGAGACGTGCTCTGTGACTGAAGAATGTGATGTAGCCACTGGTCAAGTGATCCCAAAAACTCCAATGACAAATACTCCCCACCCTCCTCGACCAGAAAATACTCCTCCTTCTGACTATGTCTCGAGTGATTATTTCGTGCAGCCGTTTGTCCAGGTTGGCTGCAGCTTTGTTTAATTTATTCTCTGGAGATGCACCTTAAAAATGTTTTTAATCATGTATTAGGGTGTTTACAAGAGAACTGTAGGTCTAAATTACGGATTTTTTAAACTGTTGCAGACAACATGCGGAGTGCTTTATCTAATAAACGGCCTCTTATGGAGAATGCATGTTGTAGAAGAAGAAACTAGTATCAAGGAAATATCCAGATTTTCTTTAGCTAGACTAAACATCATGGTAGCTTTGTCACTACATATAAATATTTCTCATTCAAGGTTGATCCTTTTCAGTATAGTATTGTTGATATCTGGTAAATGAAAGTCTTGAAAGCTCGAGCTCCTTGACTTCTGACCAAATTAAAGACATTAAGTGGTGTTTATGCTGCATATCTATTAGGGGATATCACAAAGAGAGAGGTGTTTTCCATATCAATCTTGCTTTTGGTTTTATGCACTTTTTAAAGGGGTGCTTTAGATATTTTTATTCAGATTCTTGTTTTATCTTTATATCCAAAAAACAAAGGAAAGATATTGCTATCTAACCCCTTCAAACACTTGTATACTGTGGAGTAGGACAAGGAATATCCCAAGGAGCCTCTTAATCATCTTTTGCCTGATTCTCAAACTGGAAATGAAATGGGTTATGCCACCTGTTTGGATGGAAACTCTGAAGTGGTCGATCTTAGGCGAGCTGACTCCCTTTTGTGTGACGAGATAATTGATTCATATATGACTTGGGGTGATCTGAAACCAAATATCTCCTCCTTGACTCAATCCAGTGTCAATGTAAGTGGTTCATCACATCAGAAATATGGAAATGTTTCCTGTGATGTTAGTGATCTCGACAACTTGTTGCTCGATACTCCACCAGATTTTCAGCTTAGTGTAAGCACTTTTGCTCTTTTATTTTTATTTTTTATTTTTTCTTAAGTCTTGCATAGTTTTCATTTGAGGACATAAATCATGATTGGGTTTTGTTTTGGCACAGGATTTGCAGTTTCCATCTCAGGATAGCGTGTTTGATTTGTTGGACCGGTTATAAACGATGACAAGCACCCAATTTTCCACCCTCATGAGAGTGCTTAAATTAAAGAAAAAAAAAAGCAATGAGAAAACAAATGAATTAAACATTTACCAGGATTGATAGCATCATCAACAAAACTTGAAAGCTGTTTCTTAAGTTGAAATTTGGTAATTCAGATGTCAAAGTTAATATTTTTGTGGCTTGGCCTTGTTGATTTGTCTCTGCTATCGAGATTTTCAAATGCTTATATGTATGTTTTCCGCTGTTATTATTGTTGTTTTATGCATTGTTGTTTAATGCTAATTATCAGTAAGATTTGCTCTGTTGTTTGTACACTATTGTTTGTTGAAACGTGCCTAGCTTGATTTTCAATAGATTATGCTAACGGCATAAAATTATTGGGCCATAATATTTCCCAGTTCCCTTGAGCGATATAAAAATCCCTTAGGGACATATATTGATACTAAGGAAATAGTTATTTACACCTCGTTTTAAAGGTTAAATAAATTTTTCACAACGTTGAATTATAAGTTAAATTTATTACACCAAAAAGTGTAAAAGGCATTATGCGATAATCATGTGATTATTGTGCAAATGATAATGTGCGGAAGTTTAAAATGAGAATGAATTCGCATAATCCTTTGCTCTTTTTAGGGTGAATTTGGATAATTATGCGATTGATATGCAACATTTATGCAACTGATAAGCGAACCAAGGACCCACTTTTGAGAGTTTTAATACTCCCTCGGATCTAATAGAAGAAGAAAAATGCTATCACGCATTGGAAGAGTCGAGATCACCGGTTATTGATCAAACAACCAAGAAGTGAAACAACATTCCAGCCCTGGTACAGGCCACGAGACAACTCTTGCAAACTATTTGCATAAACTTTGCATTTTCTAGGGTGAAAAATCTAGATTGTTAGCGGGAGCTAGGGATGAAAAACTTATTATATCTTCACGTCAAGGTGAAAAAGATTTTGTCCCCATTGATATATCCCTAGCTTGAATGGACCAATTTCGACTGATATAGTTCTAGCTCGGCTAGGCGGGGTTGGAGCCTTACCAACTCGAACTAACAAAGCCGAAGTTGGAGTTGCGGATTACTCGCGATGATTTGGAGGGCCTAAGAATTGTCTGTTAAGATAAATACTTAAATTGGACTCAATAAATTGGCGCCGTCTATGGGGATCTTTAATAAAAGAAAAGATTTTCCGATTCATAAACTCCACATCTCTGAGATGGCCAATAAATAATCTTTGAAAAGGAACTTGTCCGGAGATTTCAGAGAAGCCTGAGTGGACAAGCATAGTGAAACGAAGGTAGGGAGTACAAAGTACGCAAATTGTGTTAAAACACAGAAATTATGTACTATTAATTTGTGTTGCAGCACAGAAATAAATTGCGGAAGCGATATAAAAAATATATTTCTTCGGGGAGCATTCCACTACCCCTCAGAGCTCTTTCATTGATAAATCGGTTTTGCGTCCCACAAAATACAACTTGGACTTACTCGACTCGGACTCCCTCTTAGTCTAGCTAACACTATACCCGATCCTATCAACTACTTCTCTGGCCACGTCCCGTGGTCTTTACATACTCGAATCTCTCGAGCAAACTCAATACTTAATCCCTAAGCACTCAAAAAGTGTGTGTAAAAAGAAAAAGAAACTAAACAAACTCAGTTCGTCAACAATGTAAGAACGTTGAAGTGCTGTGACGAACAAAATAAAAAGAATAAAAGTCTCTCAAACACTCAATTGAATCTGATGAATGATGAACTCGATTATTGCAACAACTCTCTTCAATTGATTGTTTGAGTATGCTTATATACAATCTCCTTAAGGTAAGGAGTCTTCACAAAGTTCTTCCTTTTCCTTTTAGGAGTCAATTCCTTCTCAATTGATTCCTTTCAGATCTTGGACGAAATCCTTCATGTAAAGTAAGTTTCCTTGATGTAGAATTCGTGTATGTGATTTGGAGATCTTTAGAATTGAGCTTCTACTGGAAATCTTGTGTTTCTAGTCTGATGTAAGAACACAACTTTCCTAAAATAGCCGACCTTCCAAATCTTTAAAGATCTTGTGGTGATTTTTTTTCAAATCCTCCTTAGATCTTCTAGAGAACATCCATAATTCTTCTTGTGTGAATATCTCATCATTTCATAGTCCTTGCCACATATTCCTTGTCCTACAAGAGAGAGAAAACTAATTATGGCATAGAATCAAGCTCATTAATGCATGTGGCATATGTGGTAAGTAAATATATAAGATATATATTATGTAATCCTTCTCCTGAAGGTTTAGGACTCCATAATACACATTACAATAAATATATAACATATATTATTAATAATAAATATTAGGAACTGAATTAATTAACAAGTAAATAAATAAAAAACTTTCCTTTAATTTATTTTGCTTGCCTATCAAGAAAATCTTCTAGGAAACACTTAGGTTTTTTGGACGATGTCAAACCAGTATTCTTACACATAGAATAAAAAAAGGACTCCCATCGAGATTCTTAATAAATATTGTAACACTGCCAACATGCATAAGTTGGCAGAGGTGAGTAGGGTCCCTCCTTAGCACAACGCCCCCAGTTGTGATAAATCCCGAACAGGCAGTAGGGTTGAACTTTGTGATCAATCTCCTTAAGGTAAGGAGTCTTCACAAAGTTCAACCCCCCAAGGCGATCACACAACAAAAAGAGGAGGCAAATAGAACTTTGCCCCTTATAACTATACCGATTGTGCGCATCGTATGACAACATTGGAGCGGCGTGCGGCTACATCGCGGTGATGATGCAAGTAGTGGCTTGGGGCTGTGCGGTGGTGCACGGGCCTCAGTTACCTCGGACTTTCTGTTTTATGACCTTACACGTCTCCATACGCTTTGGTGGACGACAAACTGAGAGATATCTCTATTTGTTTCCCAAACACACAAGAACTTAAAATTCTTCTTTTCTTATGTGAAGTAGGCGTGTGGGAGTCCAAGAGAAGGATGCTAAATATGGAACTTTCCAAGTATGGGTTGTTGATATCAGAATCAAATACCATGTGACAAAGGACAGATTAAAGATTTCATAAAGGCCAAATCGCGAACCAGGTCTTTGATAATGAAATTTGAAATCAGATTGGCACCTCGGAAATACCACCTCGGTTCCCAACGCGTCCAAAGACAAATAATAACTCCCAAAGGTCATCAGGACAAAACACTAAAACCTCGAGATTGCCACCTCGGTTAGAGAGCAGCCGGAGGTCATGGAAGACTAAAATTCTATCGAAAAACCGACGTCGTGAATAACACTGACTTCAACCAGACAGAAGTGACGCTTGTCACACAGGTAGAGGAGCGCCAATGCTCATCATTACCTAAAAAGCCTGCCTACGTCATTGCCACTGACCGCGCGTCGCAACGCGGCAAATTTAAATTTATAATATTTTCCTCGACTAACCTCTACTAACTAGTAGTAGCGGCGAGTAAGGGTCGATCCCACGAGGAGCAGGAATTAAATTGTGATGATTCTCGTATTAATTGAACTAAACCTACGAAAGCAATAAAGGTGGGGGGATTGGTTTTATAAAAATAAAAATAAAAATAATAAAATAAAATAAGAGATCAAATAAAATAAGAGAAGTCCAGTTATCACCCAATCTAAATCTACCGTTAATTAATTTCGACGCTTTCTCTATAATGCTAATGAATTACCAACCCTAGCTAACAACAAGCTCTGTTAACCGAATTTTCCCTTACTGAATATTTAATCGAAATAAGCTCTTCGACTAAATCTAACTAGCGGACAACCTAGAATAAGCTCTCTAGATTTAATACACTAGCAGCAGTAATAATGAGGAAAATAGATCAGTCTAAGCAATGGACGCAAAAGCTCGGACCATTTAACTTATGTTCACGCTACCCTAGAGATGCACGACCCCTAGTTTACTACTAACGAAACAAGACAATAACAATTACGGATTAAAGTCTCGAATCTAACAATTAAACTATGAATATTTAACGTAGTTGGCCAGACTAAATCAAACACCATAATTCATAAACTTTATACACAGATAACATGAATCAACTCATCAACAAAAATAAATACGGCGTCTCGATTAATCAACGATAAAAATAAATCCTTCAATCCATAGACAAATCAAAGTTAGGGTTCAAACATCCCCTCAAACTGGATAAAAATATTAACCTAACATACTAATTAAAATAAACACTAGATAAAAGAGAGAATAAAATTCTCCCTCGTGTGCGGGTGCGGCTTCCCTCCGCGTGTAGGCTTCTCTCCTTTTCTCTCTGTCCGTGTATGGCGTTTTTCTTTGTTCTGAGTGCTCTCGGCTTTCGTGAGTTTCTGATTTTCTTCTATGGCTCACGGCTTTTTCTCCCCCTGCTACTCACGACTTTTGCAATATAAATCCTATCCAATGAGTCCTATTGCAAATCAATTTCCAGCCCTCTTATGCTACGTTTTTTGCTTTTCATAAATAATTCCAAGTGGCCTGGCCAATCCAATTAATTGCACCACTCACGTGAGTTTGAGCTGCGTGTATAGAGTTTAGAATTCCCAATTAATCCTCTCCCACCATTGCATCACGTGGCTACCATGTTTGTAATTGGGCTTTATTTCAAAAACTTCTTCTAAACATGTGTTTGGGCCATAAATAATTTGGTATTGGGAATCCAATCTTTTGCGAACACTCCTCCAATGCTCCAGATCCACAAAATACTCCATTGAACTGAAAATAAATATAAAAACATCAATGTGTATGAGTCCATTCAAATAATAAATAAGTCAAAAAATATAAACGTGCGAATAAATTGAGTATATAAAAATACACTATTAAACATATAAAATAAGCACATTTTCCGACCTATCAGCCACCCCTAAGCCGTCAAATCCTCGTTAAATAAAGCTGATTTATCTTGGGAGGTGTGCCAAGCATAACTATAAATAGCAGCATTAAAGACAATACGAGGATTTTCGGTTCCAAGACAGAAAAACTCATACATTTATTATCTCGGTTTTTTTCGCTACCGACTTTGTGTATTAGAGAAAACCGACTTTCCAATTCTGTAACCGACTTTAATATCTTCAATAAAAATCATATTTTCTGCAATCTTTACTGTACTTTTTACCTTAATTACGTTGGTTAAATCCGTTTATCAACATGGGTCTAACTGTGAGTCATGTACACTTTGCTCACACTTTAATAATATTTCAATCCGCTAAAGAAATATTACTGCACTCTCCATTTCAC